AACGTATTAAACTTTCGGAAAAATTTGCTCACTGCCTCACAAAGATTATGCTGCAGTTGAAAAATCAAAAACTCGAAAATTATCATCATCATTTGGATATAATATGTATGTATAGTTTAATGAGAAATTAAAAGTGGAAATTACGTATGATACGCCAATGTCCTCGATATAACCTAAAAAATAACAAATGTCAGAAATCCATAGAATTGAATAAAGATGGAACTATATAATTGTTTCACAAACACTTTAGACTTTAGAGTGAGAGGAGACGAGGATCTGTCCGTACCCTGTTAAGATGACAAATACGTCAATTTCCATCAAGGGACCCTAGTGTAAATAATCAAGGGTTTTATAATGATTTCATTGAACGTGCGAAATAAGGAAATATTTAACTCTTGATTTTGTTAGGAATAACAATCAAGTCAAACTCGTTGCCACTCCTGTCAGAAGAAGCACCCGTCTTTCAAGGTCCGCATATGTGTCAACACCTGGTATGCAAATTTGCTCTAGTCTGAGAGAACTAGATAGTCCTGTGAGGGAGAAACTCAACTTTCTGAAAAATAAAGCTTTAGATTGAAATCCAAGGAGTTGTTTCTAACAAATTTGTGTTAATTTTTTCAAATTTGTATCTTTTCAATATTTGTTTCTAATGTGAAACGTATGCAGTTTATTTTCAGTGCAGTCTTACCTGTGGTAATTTTGATACAACAGAAATTCGAGAAAAAAATATATGCCATTTCAACTCGAAAATATTTAGGGGTAAAACTATCAAATTATTGTATTAGTTTTGTTATTAGTGACATTCATTTCAGGTAATGTTGATATTGTTACCAAGAGAATTCTTTGATAAAACATTATTAACCAATTAATCTTTATCCTTCATACTTTTTGTAGTTTATTTGTTTTTGTATTTACCATATGACATGTTTTGTCTGTAAATTACTTTTTATATCTTTACTGTATGTGATATAAACCGTTTTTTCCATATGACTGCCTTGTCTGTGAATTAGTTTTTGTATTTTTAATGTATGTGATATAAAACTATTTTTTTAAAGTACTCAATAAATTTCAAAACTACATGGATGTATTGAATTTTTCCATTGTCAATCTGAATGACGTACTCGACTAGGTTGTCATCTAGAACGGCAATGATTTTTGATTTAAACCGAGTTTCTTACTTATCAAGATATCAGTTGACACTTCACATTTTTTCGCTATATAAAATCAAACCAATAAAAGATAAACATATTTTTTTATTGATCAGTCACAAATAAATATCTATACAAAGTAGCCGTCGTATATGATAAGCATTGGCAATGTGAACACTGTGCGAAATTGGTTTTTAAATATTAGAGTCACTGGATGGTATAAGTATCTCACTAATACCATACAGTGACTCTAGTAAATATAAGCCATAAATAAGCGAACAGCACACCTTGCCAAAACACTTAAAAATGGGGTTTCAGAAGTACCGACTCCGGTTGCCAAAAAAAAAATTCGAAAAACAACAGCTATACAATGATTTTCTGAGCAGAATAAATGTATAGAAGGGAATATACACGGTGTCTTATATAAAAATGCATCCACAGAAATCTCTTAAATCACAAAAAAATATCATGTGGGATGGATCAGGAGAAAAGAAATTGAAGGTTGTAGAAGCATTTGTCAGGGAGGTTTTTGAGCACGCTTGGGGTATATTTTTCCTTCACATGGTGGTCTTGAATTCAAGTGTGAAAGCCTATGGAAGATTCCTTCTATCCCATTCTAGTGTTAAGATTACCAAGTTTTTCAGTTCTCAAATATTGAACGATGTTGACCGTTTCTGTTCAATTTTTTTTGTGAAACTTGAAAAGCACAATTAGATTTTGAACAATTGTTTCCGTTTGAGATACAGGGCGATTCTGAAAATTCATACTATATCGACACCTATATCTATGGTTATTAGTATCATATTCTGGTTGAGATTACCAGGTTTTTCAGTAGTTCTCAAAGATAGAACACCGCGGTTCTAACGTTTCTGTTCTATTTTTTTTTTTGTGAAACTCAAAAGGCCCAATCAAATTTTGAATAATTGTTTCTGTTATGAAAATTCATACTATTTCGACACCTATATCTACGGTTATTAAAATTCCATTCTAGTTGAGATGACCAGGTTTTTCAGTTGAAAGATAGAACACCGCGGTTCTAACGTTTCTGTTCTTTTTTTTTTGTGAAACTCAAAAGGCCCAATCATATTTTGAATAATAGTGTCCGTTCATGAGTGCGATTCTGAAAATTCACACTAATTCGACACCGATATCTACGGTTATTAGAATAATGTTCCGCTGAGAACTACATCTAAATTTGCGTACATCCAGTGGCTTACTCAATTATTTTTTTCGGGGTACGGTTTCGGAGATACGCCACAAACTTGTATATTTTTCAATGGAACACCATATATTCAATGTTTCGTTGAATGTTATTTTTTTCGTTTGTGATGATGTATAATACTTACATAGGATGGTCAGAAATGCTGAAAAATCACTAAAACGTTAAATTATAATGAAATTCTGCTGGTATGCCATGGATTTTTCAAGTTTTATATGGAGGATTATAATGAAATGTATACTTTATTATAATATATTATATTGATTAGTTACTATTCATTTGATGTTTTTAGGTACTTACGTCTCATGATGAAGTGAATTAGTTAATTATTCATCATAATTTGATGTTCAATGCTTTTTCAGCAATAGCATGCATCATTTTTAAGAGAAAAAAGAACGAATTCAACAAAATAATATGATATAGGGTGTTCAAAAATGTATGTTTGTGTCGTATCTCCAAAACCATACTCCGATAGTTTGCTACTGAATTCTGCGCAAAATTCTCTGTTAGACATTTTTCTATGCACAATAACATGTCATTTTCGTTATTTCAACACCTTGTATTTTGTGTCAACTTTTGACGTATTCTTATGGAAGGAATCTGACCTTGCCTTTTGAATTCCGAAACATCCTGTACACAGTAAAATATAGTTTGACAGCGGCAATTTTGATAGAAGCACCAGTTTCATATTTTCTTGTATTGCATGATGACGAAAAGTAAAACAAAGTATAAAAAACAAGAATTTTACCGTGGGCATGAGCAGATATTTCGAGGAAATCATGACACGAGTCGTTACGATTTGTTTGGGCAGCAGATTACATCTGAATTTTTTTTTCAACATCAAGATTTCTTTATTCCAATTCAAACCACATCTTTTCTCTCATGGTTAGGAGATTTCTGATGCATCGTTGATAGAATACTGGGTACAAATTATTTCCTGTAGCTGCCGGATGAAGGACATTAGCCCTATATCTTTGAAAATATCGAAATCAGATTTCAGGTCCTTTGTAACTTTTTTATGCTGAGTAATGAGCTATCTTATGAAGTTTCAGATTATTATCTCCTACAATTCCACCGAAATTGACAAACTTTTTTCATAGTGATTGATAATTGCACTGAATGGAGCTTTTCTGTTAAATATATCGAGAAAGAATTAATATTTTCATCAGATAGAGAATGCGAATTCTCAATGTACTTCTCAATGATTAAATTTTTTATGTTCATATTATATCTGAGAATACTTCTTTTCAATGAAAATAGTATTTAGTCACTATTCAGTGACAGAAGTTGAGATAAAAAGGTGTGAGTTACAGAGTGTACGCCCACAGAATTTTATCTCGATAATTGTCACTGAGAAGTGTCAGAAGACTCATACGAAAAGTTCAACTATTGCAAGAATTATTTTCCTGAAAGGGTTTTGCACAAAATGAGAACCTGAAAAGAGTGAGAAGATTCTCTTGTACAAAGGATCCCAACATTCTCAACTAGTACCCACAAGAAACCACCCTGGTAAAAAAAAACGCCTAGCAACTGTTGACCACTGAGTTTCCTCATAATTTCAATATCAATAATTTTCTATTTGTTTCAGTACCTACTTATTTTGATGTTCACATTTTCTTCAAACTATAGTCATACTCTCCAAATCCTCATACAATGATGTTTCATTGATTGAATCCATGGGTAGAAGGACCATGGTCAATAACCCTTTGGTTCAACAAAGTATTATTGTTATTATTGTTTTCCTTTTTTATGTTGAAAACGGGAGTAGATTCGTTCCAGAAATTTTAAATTTTTCAATATACCTTCCTCTTCAAATATCCTTGAAACTATGTGTCACTGATAATCGACCAAATTTTGTCTTTTGGGTTTTTAATAGTGGAATTTTGAGGCACATAATATAATTCATTTTGTCATTACTAACGTCATAGGATGTTGGGAAGTGTAACATTACACATCTCTACTTCCCGCCCTCACTACTTCCCGCCCTCACTAATGTAATAATTCAGGTGTTCAGAACGAAACATAGATTCATTAATTTTGATCGAAATATGATGGTTGTAAATGAAATAGTATACAAACCTCGGTAGGGAATTTCATTCCTGTCTCGAGATTATAGCTAACCTCGACGCTAACTAACTAACTAAGTAACTAATCTCACGACAGGAATGAATAACTTCCCACCACGGTGTGTAATATACTATTGACCTTGCTACAAGACCCTATACTGAAATGATGAAGTGACGTGAAAAAATCCAAAATGTAGAGAAATGAATAAATGACCTAATTTTTTTCACATGAAAACACTGTTCTTCTCTTCGTTTGAATTTTGAAAAATAGAAAGAAAATATTTTCAGGGTTCATAGGATAGCACATGATTATTGATTTATAGGGCATCCTGAAGAACCTACTCTAATTTCAATATTATCCAAGATACAGGGCTGTTACCCTTCAAACAAATGGTATATTTATGAAAAATATGATTGGCTATTTGAATGAATTCCAGGAAATCAAAGCCAATCCAGCATCAGGTTGCAATAACGTGTCATTCTCTCAAAGTCAAAATACGCCAGTCAAAATCGACACAAAAAAATCGCTAAATTCGCAAAACATGATGTATCTCGTGATTTTTTAGTATGTTGTTTGGACTCATTAGGGTAGTGTATACATAAGTTTGCAACTCTCAAAAAGTTGTGGAAAAAGTGTGGCACACGAAAAACTGCGAAAATTTCGGACTTTCTCCAGTTTTTACTCTATATCTCCTAAACTATGCATTTTTCGCCAAAAAATTTCATATGTTTTTGAAGAGAATCGAATGTTCAACAATTTAAGTCTAAGCAAAGCTCTGTAGATTGATCATCAACGGAACTACGGTACTTTGAATATAGCCCATTTTTTTCAGAAAGTGAAAGTTTCAGTTCTGGACCAATTTCAGACCGAAATTGCGGCTAAACTATTGATGCTACAGGTATAACTCATGTAATAAAATTTTTAGAAAATTCCATTACCTTCAAATTGAGCACACAGTGGGGACTGTAGGCCTTGTCGTTCTCAAAATCTGGAAAAATCCAATATAAGATAATATCGCATTTTTTCAGATATCTACCAAATCACTGTTTTGTTGCATATAGTGAGTTTTGAACATTCACCAATTTCAAAGATTTGGGTCAAAGCAGAACTCCAAATCGATTAAATTGTAGGTAGGTAGGTACCAATTTCATAAGTCAATGTATGATGGCGCCCGAAAGAGCACAAAATTTGCAAAGCGATCACGACGGTATTCTGCAGCATCAGTGGAAATTGTATTTGACGCATCCACCATCATCACAGTCCCCCAAGAGAAGATGCTCTCGAATGACAAATACAAAGTTCGTCTCATTGACCATCCCTGTTCTGCTTTTGCTCTCGAGGGGATTGAGACAAAAATAGCAGAAGAAGAAGAAGCAGACCGCGATATCGTTCTGACTGCTCTGCAAAAAAGTACATCCAATGACCACTTCATCATCGTTGGAGAGGATGTTGATCTACTCGTGCTCCTCTGCGGTCTAGGATCCACTAAATCGAACGTCTACTTCCAGAAGAGTAGCAGAGGCGAGGCGGGTTGCATCCAGTTTTCCATCAGCTCGTTCAACCAAGAGGAAGTGGAGGTACCACTTGGATTTGAGCTGTTCGCCCATGCATTCACTGGGTGCGACACCACCTCTGCCCTCTTCTGGCAGGGGAAGATGAAAATGTGGGGCCACTTCAAACAGAATCAAGCCTTAGTAGACCAAGCAAAAGTTTTCCTCCAGCCAGATGCCACACACCGAGAGACGACAGACACCCTCAACGATGTTCGCTTCCGTACTTTCGTGAAGACAGCGGCCAACGACAAAGCGAATCTGGCGCGTTTGCTACCAATCACAGAAGCTGCGTCGTATCATCACTATTGCACATACCATGCCACACACCGAGAGACGACAGACACCCTCAACGATGTTCGCTTCCGTACTTTCGTGAAGACAGCGGCCAACGACAAAGCGAATCTGGCGCGTTTGCTACCAACCACAGAAGCTGCGTCGTATCATCACTATCGCACATACCACCAGGTGCAAAAGTGGCTATAGGGATGGAGAGAGATGCCGCCGACTGACGTTGGGAATTGAGGTCGGCTGGACTCATCTCCATTACCAGTCGGAAAGCCCCTGCCCCACCAGAGCTCCTGAAACTTCTTTCTTGCAAATGCAAGAAGGGATGCCTAAAAGCGGGACTCAAATGTTCTGTGATGTGTGCTACCTGCTCTGGGGAAACGTGCCAGAACGCTGCCCTTATCATCATCGAAGAGGATGACGAAGACGAGACTCAAGAGAACTTTAATGAGCCTCAAGACAACCATGACCATGTTCATATTAAAACACATTTCATCATTTTTTTCTATTACCACACCAAAAAACAAAAGATAGGAAAGGTTTTGGAACATTTCCGGAGATATGCGATTCTATCTGATATTGGTTTTTTCGATATTCTGAGAGAACTAAGAGGCCTAAAGACCCCGTTATGTGCTTAATTCGAAGCTGATGGAATGGCCTACAACTTTCAATCCACAAGTTCTACTCGTAGTATCAATGGTTTAGCCGCAATTTCGGTCTAATGTCCAAGACTGTAATTTTAATTTTCTGAAAAAAATTGCCTATATTCAAAGTACTGTAGTTTCGTTAATAATCAACCTCCGCTTGAATTGAAATTGTTGAACATCAGATCATCATTCAGCAAAAACTGAAGAAAGTCCGAAAATTTCGCAGTTTTTCGTGTGCTACACTTTTTCCACAACTTTTTGAGAGTTGCAAACTTGGGTATACACTACCCTAATGGGTCCAAACAACATACTAGAAAATCAGAGATACGTCATGTTTTGTTCATTTATTGTCGATTTTTACTGGCGTACAACAGATCTTTTTCATAACTAGCATAACGAAAGTATTAATATTGATAAAAAAAAACGAAAATTATGGGAAATTATTATATTAACACACATACCCACTCTTCTGGTATGAAAACACTGAACAACAATATTATATATGACAACCACATTTTAAGCGACATTCAGAAAAACTTGTAGTTATTTCAATTGAAATACTAAAATTGAGTAGCTTCACAATATAAAATAAGTAAAATGATGAAACATTATAAATGGTATCATGAAACTTCATACTGGCCAGAATTATTAATTTGTGTAAATAAATAGAGAAATGTTCAAATAATACTTGTAGAAATAACAGGCTCCCAGATTGATATTTGATGGATAAAAAATCAGATATATGAGGAAAAACTATGAATTGCAGTAAATATTAGTACATCTCTGACTGATTCGTTTCAATTATTCACATTTCAAGTGAACTAAAAACTTATCAATCAAAAGAAATTGATCCACCAAGAAGTATGAATTTTGATTGATATTGAAATTTTGTTTGAATTCATACACTGATACAGCACCATGGTCGATTACCTACACAAATGCAGAATGTTTTCAATACAAGTTATAATTCCGAATTAAACTGTCAGAAACAGTAGGATAATTAATATTCCACTTTGAAGGGGGGTACAACATGTATACAGGCTGATCCACTTTATAGTAGCAGGGCAAATACAATAGTTACAATAGTTAACTACTGAATGGCATTTTTGCTAGTGCAACACACTCTCTCGAACCACAAGAATACACAAATAAACAGTCAAAAGTGAAGTTTTCTTTGCCTAAACCACTACCAAAAAATCGAAATAATATACACAAGCAAATTAACATTTTCAAAACGATGTACTTCCATATATTTCCACAACCGGGCACTTTGGCGAGACAATCTTGAATTCAGTCGCCTAGTTCAATTCGAATTGACCGCCATAGCTAGAATCCTTCTGATTGGTCTGAAAATACATCCATATCGAAAGTCATGGCTATCTGGGTTCTTGATCTCTGATCTCGACCGCAACGATGATGTGAAGTGAAACAGCAAAATTCACATTATAATCCTCAAGAGCTTTTATTTAGTGACCTATAACGTTCGGTTCTTATCACTGAAGGCACCGAATGACAGCGATAGCAAAGAGAAATGCAATAGAAACCATGCAACTTATAGCGTATTCGCGTAGCCAAATAATTATTCTCTCCATACTTAGAATTTTAAGGAATACTTTGACAATTTGTTAATTTTGAATTGAGATATTTGATAAGATCTAGCTTGATCCAGCCTTAGGACCCAACAGCACGTTGTCCTAAACATAACAGTCGAATATTCATAATGTCAATATTGAACTTCCATACAGTGCCAGAATAATTCGAATTATCGACATGCATCTGCTCTAGATTGGTTTGAACAAAACGAATTCTGTCCGAAGTCAGTGCAGTGCTAAATACGCATCTACAGGGTGTTGCAAAATTCCACCGACAACGCTTGACAGGTGATAGTCCTCGTGATTTCATAATCACTGAAATAGGGACATATGGTCTTCAAGTGTTCAGTTCTCGAGATACAGGGCGTTTGCACTAACTTTCGCGATTGGATAACGATACCAATCGAATGGTAGATCTCAGCAACCTTCAATATTTTTGTCCCAAAAAAGAATTATCAGAATGATGTATAAATTAAATTATAGTCTTGCAGGGGTAAGTTACGTTCTTCCAAAAGTAGTAGGAGTATACATTCAAGAATGCATTCTGCACTTTTTTAAAAACAAACATTACTCTACACATACATACCACAAAATAATTATAACACCAGATATTCTAACTACTATTACCCCATACATAGATTAGCTGTTACTGAAAAAAACGTGATATACAACTGCACAAAGTTATTCGATAAGCTACCTAACAGAATTAAAACAATATCCCATCTCAAGGTATTCAAAAAAGAAATCTGGAAACTTCTGATATCTCTGGAACCCAAAAACGGTGTGTGAATATCTAGATTCAGAATTGGAAACCTACACAACATTTTAATGGTGAATATTTCATTTTGTATGTACCTCAGTTAGATGAGTTAGTTGTTTTTATGAAGCCTGTTTGTTTCAATAACCTTTCACGGGTTCTGTAGATTTGTATAAGGTTATTTTTTTCAAATAAAGACTATTATATTATTATTAAACTGGGACAAATCCTCGGCACAGCGATGTTCTGCTACCGTTATTCCGGATATACTGTTCGGAAGCAGATAATTCGCTGTGCAGATGATTTGACTCTGGATAAGAGGTGCACAGGTTGAATTTTGGGATTTACCATTCAATAATTCGTATGGGATTGCATGATTTTTAGCTTGTTAAAAAATCGCGAAATTTTGCGAAATTTACCTCACAGGAAGGTACCATTTTTCGATCATTTTGTTTAGGATAGAAATTGGCACAGGTACCGACTCTTGGACTAAAACAATTAAATATGAGTTTCGTATTCGCCATGTACTGTATCAATGCAATAAATAATTCCTAGATAGGTTCAGCCAGCATTCACAGAGAAAAGTATGTCTTTTCCTTCTGTCCTTGTGTTCAGGGTAGCAACGTAAGATAATGTTAAGGACCACGCACACATTATATGGGAAAATGTCTTTCGATGAAAATAACAGGATTTCTGATACGTTGTAGCTGAGGTCATTCTGAATAAAAGACTCCATTGGCCCAACTCGATCGTATGACCAGATTCGGTGATTGAGGTGAAACATCATGAATTTTGTGTATTTTTGAGATTGTGGTGCTCAATGAATAATATGAAATTCTCGTGATATGGATTCACCCCAAAATGAAAATTGATGATATGCGGTAGGGAGTTATTGAGATTGGTGGAAGGTACCTATGTTTCAAGGGCACAGAAACGATGAAATAGCCTTTTCACAGGTTGGTTTTCAGAGAATGAGAATGCATTCGTCTATGAGTCTTGGCTAATTTATTGAGTTCACCAATGACAATTGATCAGAATGAACGTTGTCCAAAAAAAAACAGAAAATATAATCATTAACGCAGAGTAATTCTCTAAACCTTTTTTACGAAATACAACAAGACGATTCACGAACACATCCGTATGCAAAAAATCCATGTTTTTTTTTTTCAGAGGAAGTCGAAAGAGTAATGGAATGTTATAATATATTTAGCCAGTGTATATATCGCAGATACCATCAATATGGAAGGAAACTCTTTGTATTTTGTAAAATAGTGGAGAATTGGAATATCTGATGTTAACCTCATATCAAGCATACCTATTCAAGGAACCACAGCACACTGGCTACGTGCGCACATGATCTCAGAGTACTAGAACCTTGCTTGCATGTGCAGTGATAACCATCAATCCGATCATTTCAACCTGGTACCTAATACCCAAATTCTCAAGTCAATGTTTAGCGAATCTGTATGTACCTGCGATCAACAGTAATTCGATGAAACCACAAATTATTATTTTTCTCTATCTCTTGGAGCGCATTTAATTGATTCCCTATTATGTTCGAGAACCATCGTGAATACCTATAGGAAGTAGGTATATAGGGGGAAAAGGTAGGTCGAAATTGGAATGTTCTTTTACTTTTGGAGGAAATACTTCCTCAAAAATACACAAAATTCATGACCTTTCACCCTTTAGCGCCGAATCTGGTCATACTATCGAGTTGGGCCAATGGAGTCTTTTTCTCAGAATGACTTCAGCTACAACATATCAAAAATCTAGCCATTTTCACCGAAAGACATTTTCCCATATAATGTGTGCTTGGTCCTTTGACAATGGTAACACGAAAAACGAGAAGGAAGACCTTTTTAACCTCGAAGACAAAACGCTGGCAGAACTTCCTTACTAATAAAATGTTAAATGTCAAAGGTGACAGATTCCTTGAGAACACCTGTTGTACGTCGGACTGATCCACAGTGACCTTGAAAACGTCCGAAGTGCCTTGAAGAAGCCGCTAACCTGTCCACAGATTTCGGAAAAAATGCCCAACCCCAAGGCATTTCAGACGTGTTGTGTTTTTTTTTCTGAAATGCGCTTATTTATTCTCACAACCGCTTCTGAAATTTCAACTTACGACGCAATAGAACAATGGATTGAAATGTTTCCTGACCATTAAAACGTCCGAAGTGTCTTGAAGAAGCCGCTAACCTGTCCACAGATTTCGGAAAAAAAAATGCCCAACCCCAAGGCATTTCAGACGCATTGTGTTTTTTTTCTGAAATGCGCTTATTTATTCTCACAACCGCTTCTGAAATTTCAACTTACGACGCGATAGAACAATGGATTGAAATGTTTCGTGACCTTGAAAACGTCCGAAGTGCCTTGAAGAAGCCGCTAACCTGTCCACAGATTTCGGAAAAAATGCCCAACCCCAAGGCATTTCAGACGTGTTGTGTTTTTTTTTCTGAAATGCGCTTATTTATTCTCACAACCGCTTCTGAAATTTCAACTTACGACGCAATAGAACAATGGATTGAAATGTTTCGTGACCTTGAAAACGTCCGAAGTGCCTTGAAGAAGCCGTTAACCTGTCCACAGATTTCGGAAAAATGCCCAACCCCAAGGCATTTCAGACGCGTTTTGTTTTTTTTTTCTGAAATGCGCTTATTTATTCTCACAACCGCTTCTGAAATTTCAACTTACGACGCAATAGAACAATGGATTGAAATGTTTCGTGACCTTGAAAACGTCCGAAGTGCCTTGAAGAAGCCGCTAACCTGTCCACAGATTTCGGAAAAAAATGCCCAACCCCAAGGCATTTCAGACGCGTTGTTTTTTTTTTTCTGAAATGCGCTTATTTATTCTCACAACCGCTTCTGAAATTTCAACTTACGACGCAATAGAACAATGGATTGAAATGTTTCGTGGCATGTCAGTCTAAACAGTCTTCGCTCGGTTTGCTCGGCGACGTGTCCAAATAGATTTTCAGTGCTCGCTCTCTACCTGGAGAGTACGATTTCGTGCTCAGCTTGCCGAGACGAGCGTTCTCCGATTGGTTGATCGATTTCCTCTCTTCGGCGGTCAGCTCTTTCAACGGTTCACGTTTATCCCTGAAATGGAAAGTTTTGTATAAATATTATTACTCAAATTCAATCGCCCTGTGTAGGCAGGACTGTTTCTATAGTGAAAAAGAAATATTATTGATTGTTTTGTATGTAAATAAAGTTTTATCTGGAGAAGTGGCGTAACTCTTATTCCTATCCAGAGAAACGTTACAACATTTTCAAATGTTGCTGCTGTATAAAGGATATATTGGGGCTTGGGCCTTGGAACCCAACTGAATCAAAAATAGGCTCTGGGCCGCTCACCTGTAGAAAAAGACGGACCCGTCGTCCGCACTCACCGGCCACTGTTCCAGGCTGGTGACGTTCGGATTCCAATCGATGTCTGAGTGTATTTCGAGCAGGTGCAGCTCGCAGGGCATCGCCTGCTTGACGTTCGTCACCTCCACGCAATCGGCGGGAATGCCGGAGGCCTCGGACAGCTTTTGTTTCAGCTCCTCCACGGTCGAACTTTCCAGCACGATCTCCTGAAAGCGGGCATTGAATGTATAGGGTGGGCCAAATTGGACACTTTTATATTATTATAATAAAATATTAACAAAATTATCAGATGCCATATAGGCTTGGGGAAATGGTTGCCGTCCATTTCATTATAATTAAATATAAATAACGTAACCAGCTAGTGAAGTCACCTTAGAGAGGCCAGTGTTTTACCATCCGCGTGTCGACTAACGCGTCAGTTCATCTTTGTGTTCGGTGACTCAGTTACGTTATGAAGCGGTCCCGAATTCTTTTGTTGTTTATTCATCAAAATGATTCGCGGAAAAATTACTGTTTTGTGAAATATTTTGTGTTGTGATAGGCGAAATAACAATGCCTTTCAAGTGTTGTGTTCCCTTTTGTCGGGGGAATTATGTGGGTGGTCCAAAAGTTCATGCTTTTAGTTTCCCGTTGGACGAGGAACTATCGAAAAAGTGGGTATATGCAATTCACCGCGAGGATTTTACTCCATCTAAGTACAGTAGAGTATGTGAATTACATTTTACTTAAGATGCTATTATTACTTCATCTACTGCAACCGATTCGAAAACTGGCAAAACTGTAACGATAGATTTGAACATTCCTAGGCTCAAACGAGATGTTATTCCTATTCGATTTCCTAACTGTCCATCTTATTTATCGAAAGGTAAAATTACGCACAAGTCGGGATGAAACCACCTATCACAGCTATAAATTTTGGTTCCGATGAAAAATTCATTTTCTTGCATAAAATGACAGAATGTTAGAAACTTGGAAATCTGCAAATTCTACTAATAAACTAACAAACCAAACACATACTGCTTTGATTCATACTATATATGGAATGACAGAAGTTATACAATATTGTTTTTACGAACTCAAGATGAATTATTTTTCACTAGGAAAATTTCAAACAGATGATTTGTAACATAGGTTCGGGATATATCGTCAACTTCCAGGTGAACAATATCACATATCTATTCAACAATTGTATGAATCGGAAGAAAGGCTCAGAATGCAATCACTGCTCACGCTAAAATCTCGTACTTACGGTAATATACAAATCAGGCGCTTCCACGAAAATATTGATTTCACTGATGAAATTCAAGAGAATCATTCTTTCAATTCAGATATCATAGTTGAGGAATCTGATATAGATGAATATAGTGATGACATGCCGGTAATAACCTATTTAGCGGGTTATTGTTGCTATAATATTACACTTTGAAAAATTCAGTACGAATGGTGTAAACAGAACTTAGTCTATAATGATGAATTAATAATAGAAGACAATTACTCTCTCATGAAAAGTATGAGTAGAGGAAAATTACTCTACCCGCAAGCTTTGATTGAGCAGTTAGTTTTGTATTCGTATATTCAACAAAATGTTCTCTTCGAGGAAATATTCTTGATTGTTCATAATAAACGGGCATTTTAAACTCAATACATTCTCAAATTTCTTTTTTAATAAAGGTCATTTGCCTCGTGGCAATGAATGCAGAATTCATTCCAATGATCAAAGTGCAACTATCATATTAACTTGTACTACAAAAACTCTACTTATAAATTACTGTTTCAAGTCTAACGATCAATTGAGTAAAAAATCCAACAACAGGAAATTGAAAACACTCACTGGCTAATTTTTTAGCTAATAGGAATTCTTCAAGATAAATATAGGTAATTATAACAAACCGCATGTCTATCAAAATAAAATACATTTTCCACAATTTTCTTTCCATCAATCTCACGATAAGTTCATGTTCTGCGGGCCCTCTCTAAGTAGGTGTGAGGTTCGCCTCTAATGAGATTAAATCACTACAATTTTTGCCAATATATTTAATTCAAATGGGTTGCTGTAGGGGGGTATTTGTTTTTTATTCTGGTGTTTGCTTTGAAACTCCGTTTTTCCATAATAAAATCGAATGGGGTGCGAAAAAGGGCTCAGTTGACGACTGGCATCCTCTTTTAATCGACATGAGCGCTTGTCGTTTCGAGCCGCTGGTTAGGCCTCACTAAGGTGACGTCACCACGGAGCATGCAGGCCTTATAATCTCGATGGTAACGTTCAAGCTCTGGGGATCGAGTCACGGAACACTCTGTACAAAGGGTGAACAGTTTTAAAACGATCCAATAATTGTTCTTGCCAATTTCAACATTCCACAAAAATACCTGGAACGGTCGCAGCGTTAACGTCGACGGACACCATTGCCGGACGAACAACACCAGCTGGTCCTTCGACGTCACCTTATCCACCTCCGCCAACTCTTGCAGGAACACCTCCATGCTGGTAGTGACGACGATGTCCTTGTCGAACTTTTGGTCGTCGAAATACACCTTGAAAATTACACATAATTGAAATCCAATATGAATAAGACAGGACAATACAGTGCAGACTCGATAATCCGAACGTTCAATAATCCGAATTCTTCAGTAGTCCGAACAAGCATTTTTAATACATTGAGTACTCTATAATCCGAATTTCATAGTACTCGATAATCCGAACCTATACCCTTTAGGCCTATTTATTTCCTATAGAAATTGGGAGTGAAATGTTCAGGGATTCCCCTAATTGTTCTTTTGTTAGTATCTCGGATTCACAATACGCAAGGAAGAAAATAATATTCCGTTAAATGATATTCTTGTACTTCAAAGATTAAAAGAAATGGCCTTTATAAATAATCAAAGATGTGTCAAGCAAACAAAAATTACAAATTACTTTAGAAACTAGTATTATATTCTTACTTTTATGCATATTTTAGTGTTACTTTTTCGTATTTATGTATTTTTGCATTTCGTAATAAAAAATTTAAAAAAAAACTGCTTCGGTAATCCGAATTTTTTGGTAATCCGAATCACCTTGGTTTTTATTAGTTCGGATTATCGAGTCTGCACTGTATTACTCAATCTTAATGTCATCATTACTGAATTCACAACAGCAATAACTGCACAGGGTGAACAACTAAGAAAGGCTGTCGGTCATATCTCAGGAATGAATAATGATACAAGTTTGAGATAGAATAAATCTAATAGTTGCGTATAAAACAAAAACGAATAGATTTTATCAAAATATTTTTTCACATTATAGTTGGCCTTGACAAACTCCACATTTGGTGTCATTTAACCGACCTCGTATCTCTCACCGTTAAAAAGATACCCATGGTGAGCATGGTAAGTGGGACACACTGTATTATTTGTAAAAAAATGAATCAATGAAGAAAAAATGTAAGACAATAACTGAAATAAATAAATGAATAAAAAATCATCAGTGAAATTCAAGAAGGAAATTATTATTTGTTTTACGAAAGTGATGGAAGACAAACCCCCCATGTCCAAGTGAGCATACAGTATGGAAATACAACCTTGTAATACTTTTAGGTCCTTAAGTACCTTGGTATTTACAATGATGGAACTTTGTCCTGGAAAACCCATTTAGACAGACTGAGATTGCAGCTCCAATAGGTATATTATATGAAAAATCTTTATGAAAATAAAGACAGAGAAAGATATATTGGTCTAGCGTGTGAATATACCATGTATGCAGATGATACAGTACTTTTATATGAAGGCAAGAATCCTTCAGATTTAGAAAATATGATAAATGAAGACTTGAAAATATTTGAAAAATGGCTCCACTCTAACCTTTTATCGATAAATACTAAAAAAACAGAATATATGATTTTTCACCAAAAAAATAAACAAAAAATTTACCTCAACCTTAAAATGAAAAATGAACTCTTAAAACAAACTGACCAGATAAAATATCTTGGAATTTGGTTTGATGACAGGTTGAAGTGGGACAAACATATTGATGTTCTGACAAAAAAAATATCTCCAATTATTGGTGCATTGAGAAGATGTCCCAAACTTGATATTAAAATTGCAAACATGATTCTCTACTCTCATATACTGAGTCGTATCAACTATTTAATAAATGTTTGGGGAACTTGTTCAAAGAACAATTTCAATAAAATATCAAAATTATATAGAAAATCGTTAAAAGTATTGTATCGTCTCCCATTTGATACACCAACCAATCAATTGTTTGAAATAACAAATACGTATTCTTTAGATGAAATATATAGAATTGAAACTCCCAAAATATCATATAATATCATAAATAAAAAATTGAAGTCGAATTTTATGTTGATACGGAATTCTGAAATTCATAATCATGAAACAAGACAATATAACTTGTTTCATCTTGACGCCGCTAGCTCCATTATCGGACAAAAAAGATTCACTCATTCAGCCTTAACTGAATTCAATAAACTACCTGACAATATAAAAAATTGCAGAAATATAGGTTCATTCAAAAATGAAGTGAAAAAATTGATTATTTCTGAGCGAACTGGATAAAATTGAACATGCCATTTTTTTTTTTTTCATTTTTTTTTTCAAATATTATTCTTTGTTTGTCAATTTACAGTTGTTGATATATTTTGTATGATGATATGTTTACCTATAGGTATATAATTATGTACTTCCTTATACCAGAGCCTATTCTGTCTGGAAGTTATTTGTTCAATAAATAAATAAATAAATAAATAAATAAATGAAATAATATATGGATGTACCCTTCACCGCGGCAGTAGAGGATAGAAGATCCGAAGTGCATGGAAAAGCATACCCATGTCCTTGTTTAAAAGTCATTTTGAGAATTTGGGGTTATGCCTTCCGTCACTGCTTGTCATAGTGTCCGTACTCTTATTACAACAAAACTGACAAATATATACAGGGAATTATACATACAGGGACTCTAGTATAACCTAACTTTTATCAGGAGAAATGACATTCATAACCATAAAACTAGACATAACAATGATTCGGAATCAATGAGATTCTCTACAACCAAAAATGTTCTCCAATAATGATATTCAAGAAAAAATAAAAAAACTTCCTTAAACTTTATTAAACTAGAGCAATAGTATATTACACACCGAGGTGGGAAGTGAGGACAGGAAGTAGTGAGGGGCGGGAAGTGAGGGCAGGAAGTAGAGGTGTGTAATGTGACACTTCCCAACTTTCAATGACGTTAGTAATGACAATATGTAAACAAAATGTTCTCCAATGCTGTAATAATGTAATCTTGACTGTAAGTGTAATACCTGTGATACTGTAGTTTTAGTTTGTGTTCATTTTTTTTTTCGTGTAAACTATATGACAATGCCGACTGGCTCATGTAAGTTAAATAGCTGAACAGTGAAATATTAAGTATGAAAAAAAGTTATGTTTTGTTCAAAGGAAGGACCTACATAAAAATGTGAAAATTTTTTATTGGTTCAATAAAGATCTCTCTCTCTTTCTCAGGTATATCTCTACCAAGCATGCTGAAGCCAAATAATGATACCTACCACGGGAGGTAATGTTTTTTCCTCCCGTGGAAGTAAATTGAATGAGGAAGCAAACGCCAACTTTCCATTCAGTGAGTACTTAGATGAAATAAATACCTTCCTCGGCCGCTTCCAGCTCTTCTCCCGCAGCCGGCACTTGCCGTACGGTATGTCGAGCATGTGCTGCTTCTTCGCCTGCAGCAGGATGTCCCTCTTCGCAGAGCCGACCTGCTGACCCTTGGAGATGATGTGGTCGAAGAGGAACCGATTGACGTCCGCGCAGTCCGGTCTCAGGTGGTAGACGCCGCACTTGACCTCGTCCTTTTGCAGGACGCGACCCAGTCTTATCGTTAACCTGATAAATTATCATAGTACGATCACATAATAAAACAACAGTAATGTATGGATAATCCGAACGGAAAGTTGACAGAACCCGTTCGGTTTACCAACACTTCCGGATAATAGAATTCAAAATTATTGAAATAAGAAATAATCCGAACATGTGAATGAACATCCAGGCTCCAGCTGACGTAAAATTACAGCCTTTTTCGAGGGTTAATGTGACAAGCTCTCGTTGAGGAGCCATTTTTTATTTAGTATGCACATACATACAGGGTGTCCAGTAAGATCGTGTAGTAAATGAAAGGGCTGATAGAGTGAATCGAAATGATGTTAGGTTAGGTTTAAACTAAAGTGGGCCCATGTCAGGCCCTCCACTGTGGCCAATGGTCTATTGTGGCTCACCCTATGGTTATCTGGCCTTTCTGTTGTATTGCCATGTAACATCAACTTTTAGTAAATGTTACTTTTTCTATGAAATATTGATAGTACCAAGTATTCAACTGACCTTTTCAGAATAATTGATTCAACTCTGGTTTTCACTGAATGTATTTTGAGAACTTAAATTCCCTTTTGTAGGATATTTTGAGCTTTTCTGTTACAGATTTCATGGAGCTGCGAGTCACTGGCATACACGATGGCATACATCGGAGATCATCCTGTATATTCCTTGCATAATTGATTTTAATAGCATGTTATGTTTTGTTGACTTGATGAAAGTTCATTATTTCAGTTTGTTTTGAGAATATTCATATGAAATGTCAAACGAGTTGTTAAGGTTGTAATTTTAATTCTTCTTTTTCTTTTGTTCCTTTGTCCCATGTAGCATTAACGAATAGTTCAGCGTTCAGACCTTCAACGAGCAGGATCGCGACAGTAACATATCAAGGTTGATAAACTTCGCTATATCTTTAGAATGTCTAGGTAGTAGGCCGTCAGCATTTTCTTATTGTTATTGATCTGTATTGATTTGTATTGATTATTCATTTGAACCTGATATCGGTTATTGCAACGGTTGATTCGAATCTGGCTATTTGGTTACTATGATTTTTATGACTTAAATGACATGGGCATTTGAATATTTTGATTGATGATTGGAAAAGAGAAAGAAAGATTGAAAATCGTTCCTTTCTGCATCTGGCCACCATGAAGTGAACTTGTAGGTGGATGTCTGTTAATTTACATTTTTGAACATCCACAATTTTCTGTCATGAACATCTTATAAAAGGTAACTATTCGATTATTATAGAAATTCTTGATCTATTGAAAAGAATATTTTTGTGAAATTTGATCCATATTCAAGAAAATTAATTGATAAACTTTCATCATCTCAAGGTTGCATTATTACAACATGTTTTCCATTTTTCATATGTTATAGTTCTGCCAGACTTTATTCTAGTATACTTTATTCTAGTATACTTTATTCTAGTATACTTTATTCTAGTACTCTTGATTCTAGTACTCCTTATATAATGACACTTATATAAGTAAACTTGCTGATATATACATTTCTTGAATATTTTGTGATGTAACTATATCAACTATTTTGCTGAATGCTTTTATGGACTCGAAAGAGTGAGCATTTTTTGATGATTTTATGAAACAGTCTTCATGGAGAGATTGTCCTGGCTATTAGCCGATTTATTGTTCCTGTATATCACTGGAAATTTGATGTTCATTTCAAGAAGATAGAAATTTGCAAAGTTGATGTCATAAATTCAATATCCTGGCTGGACTAAGCATACATATAGGTCACCTGACAACTCACCAGACTCGTATGCCCATGGAATCTGGGATGGATACCAAAATGATGATGAAATTGACCACGATGTAATTTGGAAGCTGATATCAAGATATATGAGCTCTGGTCCATCGACATTTCACTGGATTATTAACATTCTTGCTGACATAAGGTATTCTCTGCATATTATAAAGTATACACTGATCGTTGAACCATTTATTATAACATTCTTTGTAATCTTAAATCTAGTACAATTGAAATTTATTATGATTCAATATTCCTATAATCTGTGAAGGTGTAATGCATTATATCTGGGGGAATATTCCATTTATTCCATTTCGAAGATTTATCCAAAAGTATTAGTGATTATCTTACATTCCAATTATAGGAGAATATTTAGTTGACTCATCCTGTATATGGTGATGTGTAAATTTCAAATTGCATGATTTCATTCGATATTTGTGATATATCATTCATTATGATTGTGTTTATGCATGACATGGAAAATGCATAGTCCTAATCAATATTTTTTTTTGTGACATATTCTATAGTTTGATGCAGACTTACCTACACATTCCAGTCAGTAAATGAATCGAAATTTTATTTGTTTGATTTGTTTTCCTATCCTTCAGCACAGGCAATATCTTTCTACAGGGATTGGCTTAGGAAAGAGGTTTGTTGAACTTCATTTTCTGTAGATGGCGTCCAAATAAAATCTTATCTGGTGGAACTATCTTTCTTATGCCAATTGTTATATTTTTGACAAAGTTACATGAAATGGTAAGTAATTGAACCACGGCCTTCTTGCCCCGACTATATGAGCTGACCGTTCGCATGGTATAACCAGAAATTATTAAATTTCTCACGTATAAGGGTTATACAAATGGCGCCCAACGTGGGGCCTGTGAATTTCATTTAACTCTGTCAAAAAAGTGCTGTAAGGTTGGACAACAAATATTTTTTGGTGAAAATCTGAGTTGTCAGTTGTTGAATTTATTTTGAATCTATCTTCAAGAATTTTTTATTGTTGTGTATTTTGTGTGTATTTTGTTACTTGGTACTGAAAATATTTTTAGTGAGATTTTTGGTACAATTTTTTGAAAAATTTGAATTTTTAAAATGGAAGGAAAGATTGAAGCCTTGTTCTTGTCTGAAGAAGAAATTGATTATGAGCTGCGTATCAGGAATATAAAAGCTGCTAGGAAAACTCTAACATCTAAAAGGATAATTTTGAACAGATTAATTAGTACTGAAACTGTATCAGTAAAATTAGTGGATCTTGAATTTGATGCAGATTCAGAGAAAACTTTCATTGATAAAACTCTTTCAGATTTAGAATCATTGATTATCAGTTTTTCAGGTCCAACATCTGACCAAATGTATAAAATTATTGAGTCTAGGTTGACTTCTTTAACTGGTAGAGTAGGACGTTTCAAGATTCCTGATCAACCTGAAGTGTTGAAATTATCTTTGTCTGAATATAAAGATTATGCAGTTTCCACTTGCATTGAATTAGAAGCAAGATTATCTTTTAATGTAAAACCTGATACTAATAGAGCTTCAACAAGTTTTTCTTCAGGAAATAGTAAGTCTATTCCAGTCTATAAATGGGGAATACAATTTGATGGGACTAGTAGTTTAAAATCTTTTTTGGAGAGGGTAAAAGAGTTATCTCAAGCTAGAGGTGTTTCAGAATTAGAACTTTTTCAATCAGCTATAGATTTATTTTCTGATCGTGCTTTGATTTGGTATAGAGCAGTTAGAGAGTCAATTTTCAATTGGGATGAACTGGTATCTCAATTAGAAAATGCCTTTTTGCCAGCTTCTTATGATGATAAACTTTTGGAAGAAATTAAATCTCGAACACAGGGTCGAGATGAACCTGTTGACATTTTTGTGGCAATAATGTTGAATTTATCTAAAAGGTTGAGCCATCCTCTTGAAGACCAGGAAATTTTGAAAATCATCAGGAGAAATGTTTTGCCAAGATATACTAAACTTCTTCCTTTGCAGAATATAAACACTATAGCCGAATTGATAAGTTTCTGTAGAAAAGTTGATGAATGTAATGAACTTCAGCAGAGATATACTCCACCAAAATCCCTGAACTGTTTGGAGAGCGACCTTGCCTATGTTGATTCAAATATTGGAAATCAGGAGAGAAATTATAGAGGAAAATGTAGTAAGAAAAATACTAAGAGCTTTTCTCAAAATTTGAATGAGTCAAATTTGTCTGATAGACCTTCTGTCTCAGGAGTAAACTCCAATAATGAATCAAGACAAATAACTTGTTTTCGATGTAGAAAAATAGGTCATATTTCTCGAGAGTGTAAAGAGTCCCGCAAATTGGTATGTTTTGGTTGTGGTAGGCCTAATGTCATGAGACCTAATTGCCCCAAATGTAGTTCAAAAAACTAGTTACTGAGGTTGAGCAGGTTGGCAATAGCTCAATCTCATTGTCTGTTGGCCAAAATTCTCAAAATTTTCAAAGGAAAAGAAACACTAATATTTCTAAATGTGACCACTTTCTAACAAATAATTGTGAAGATTCAAGAAAAAAGACAGTTGACGATGTAATTGAATCTAATGATGTTTCACCACTGTTCATTTCAAGACCTTTTGATAATAGACCTTATATTTCACTAAAACTTTATGATGAAGAAATTGTTGCACTAGTTGATAGTGGAGCAAATTTAACTTGTCTAGGTGCTTACTCTATGGAATTGTTGAGAAAATATAAGATTAAATTGAATAAAAGTCAGAAAAAGATTGTAACAACAGCTGATGGAAATGGACAAAAAGTTATAGGAAGATGTCAAATACCGTTACACCTTGGAAATATTTGTAAATTGGTAACTGTTTCAGTTATTCCAAGTTTGAAATGTGGATTAATTCTTGGTAGTGACTTTTGCAAAATGTTTGCCCTTTCCATCAATTTTCTCAATAATTCTTGGGAAATTCAAAGTGAATTCATTTTCAATTTAAATGTTTTATCTGAAGCTCCTAAACAAAATGAATCAGATATTGGCCTTTGTAAAAATTTATCAAATGAACAGTTGGAACAAGTAGAGAGCATTATGAATTTATTTTCATCAATTTCAAGTGAGGATCGTCTGGGTTTAACTGATAAAATTACAGCTCATATAAATACAGGAGACAATGCCCCTTTCAAGAAAAGACAGTACAGATTATCTCCATATATGATGGAACATTTAAATAAAGAACTAGATAGAATGTTAGCCTTGAAAGTAGTTGAGAAGTCTGAGAGTCCTTGG